GGGGAGAGAGAAGGGCCCTCCCAAATGTCATCATAGCCATTATTAGTCAATAAGTCATAGACATGCATCATTTTTGTTCATTTAAAATTTACATTTGAGGGAAGATATTTTATTTTCTAATTCATCAATTTGCCCATTGAATCATTGATGTCTAATTATAAATGTGTTATTCTTGGTTTTTGGACACTACCCTTTTTGCAAAAAAGGCCATCTTTTGGCCTCTATAAAAAAGTAGCCCGGTGCACTAAGCTCTGGCTATGCGTGAGGTTCGGGGAAGGGCCGGACCGCAAGGTTCTATCGTACGCAGCCTTACTTGCATTTTTGCAAAAGATTGTTTTCACGGCTCGAACTCGTGACCTCCTGGTCATGTGGCAGCAACTTTAATCTTTTGGCCTCTATAAAGGGTAAAAGAATTGAATGATTAGCTTATCTCACTTTAATTTCAACATCTCTTTGGGTTTTTCTGCATTGGAATGATTGCAGCAATTTATCAGAGATTTAGCACAATGATACCTTAACACGTTTTATGTGATTATGGTGGGAATTGTCGGTGATTAAAGCATATGATTAGGCATAATAATAATTAAATCTATACAATCTTTGAATAATTTTATTATTTAACTTACATTCGTTAACACAACGGATAGTGAAAGTTTCTTGAATTATGTGGTCATCTCATCATCTCAAAAATCCCATAGACTCTCGAGATTCATAAAGAGATCAAAATAATAATGTCTTTCTCAAAGCCGAAATGATCAAGAGACGTTATACCTCATCATTAACTTAAAATGCGACCAGACGCTTCTTGATAATCGAATATTTTTATGAAAAAAATTTACACAATGTTCGACTTTCATGGAGATCAAATACATCCAAGAGAAGTCCGTATCATCGTAACATTCAAGAAATACGATGATCCAGACCTCGAAACACGAAAAATAATTCGGAGAATGAATCAAAGAAGCAAACATAATTGTGCTCATAAAGATTCATAAATAAAAATACTTCTCCTAAATAAATGTGATAATCTCATCTAAACGTTTAAGTTGTTAAAAATGACAAACTTTTATTTACTCAATTATATGTTAACACTGACTTCTTATGAGTGAGTTTCATTCTTAATTTTTATATAGGCTGAGCATGTCATTTGCCTAAAAAGAAAAGGAAAACCCAAAATAACTTATGTTTGGAATTATTTTGCAAATCATTGTTAGTTTTCTGAAATAAATTATCACTTAAAATGTACTCCCTCCGGTCCAAAATAAGTGATTTTTTGGATGTTTTCACACAGATTAAGAAACCCACCTTTTAGCATTAATTAGAAATGGAATTGACCATATTAATCTTTACTATCTCACATAAACACTCCTAACACATATTCCAACACTATTTACTCCAAGGACAATGTGGGAAAACAATAATTAATTCATTCTTGAAATTTGGAAAAATCACTTATTTTTTACCACAAAAAAAAGATCAAAAAATCACTTATTTTGGACCGAAGGGAGTATTATTTGCAAGAATTTCATGTTCTGAATGTCATTTTCATGAAAAGGAATAATAATTTCCGCGTAACCATAAAAGTTGACAGATAAAGAAAATTTAAAAAATAAAAACATTTGTGGGCTCCAAAAAAGGGAAGTTTTAGTTTGGTACTTATCAATTGGTCATTTTCTTTTAATTGACGGCTCGATGGAATAAAATATTTATAAATTATTTATAAGTAATTTCAACGATAAATACTAATAATCTAATAAATTAATATTTAATATGCTATTACATATTAATTTGAACAGTAAGTGGAAACAATTTTTATATTATTAATATTGCATATAACTTAAACCTATCTGAGGATGAAAGGCTAAGTTTCATTGAATGCCAAATTCTATCTTATATGATTGTGATATTGGCCAAAGTTTATGTGACTTCTAACTAATAATCTTTTATGTGTATGACATAACACCAAACAAGCATTAAATGTAGTATAAGACTATTTTTAATCGTAATAATAATAATGTATTAATAATTATTTGGTCAATAATTACAAATTATAATTAGAAACAACAATAACAACAACAAAAAATCCAATATAATTCCATCAGTGGGGTCTGAAGAGGGTAGTGTGTAGTACGCAGACCTTACTCCTACCTTGAAATTATAATTAAAAAACTAACTTAAAATGATTAAACTGGGAAAGCAAAATAAATTACTTATAGGCATGTTTAATCTCAAAATAACCACTTATTTCTTTAAACCATATTTTTATTTTATTTAAATCAATTTTAAATTTCTTGATTATCAAGTGTATGTTTCCTGACAAATGATGCTTTAAAATATTTTCAGATATTTAACTTTTTTTTTTTTCAAAACCAACTCTTTTAGAACTAAATTCTAATACTCATTTTTCAAAAACAAACGATCAAATCAAACTAATTTTAAAACAAAGCGTGTATAAATTTCTAATGACACCTAACTTTGTAGGTTGTGGGTTGGTCTCTAAAGGAAAAAAAAAGGGGGGGTATTATCACTTTTAGCCCACCAGAAATTACTCCGAAAAAGTGTATAAACTTATAAAAATTTTGTATAAGATATACAGAATGTATATCTATACATAAAATATATAGATTTTATATATATTTTCGGTTATTATATTTACAACGTCTGTAACGACCCGACCGGTCGTTTTGAGCTCTAGCACGTCGTTCAGCGGTTTGAGACCGTTAGTAGCTTCACTTCAGGTATTATGACTTGTACGCGTGGCCGGAATTGAAATTCGGGGAGTTCAGAGTTGATTTGGAAAGAGAATTCTCATTTCGGAAGCTTTAAGTTGGAAGAATATGACTAAGGTTTGATTTTGCGTAAACGATATCATAATTAGGATTTGAAAGTTCCAACAAGTTCGTATGATGATTTTGGACTTGGGTGTATGTCCGGATCAGGTTTTGGATGACCCGGGGGCATTTTGGCGCCTATTGTGGAAATTAGCATTTTGGGAAGAATTTAAAAAATTTGGGTTGCAGTGCATTTCAATGTTATCGATGTCCGTTTGGGATCCCGAGCCTGGGAATAGCTCCGTATGGCGATTCTGGTATTGGGAGCGCGCCCGAAAGTGAATTCGGAGGTCCGTAGGTCATTTTGGAGTGATTTGGCTAAAGTTAGAAATTTGAAGGTTTTTGAGAAGTTTGACCGGAAGTGGAATTATTGATATCGGGGTTGGATTCCGATTTCGAAAGTTGGAGTAGGTTCGTAATGTTGAATGTGACTTGTGTGCAAAATTTGAGGTCAATCGGACGTGATTTGATAGGTTTCGGC